GAATGCATTTTCATACAACCAAGGTTTCAAGTCCATCACATTCAGTTGCTTTATATGCTTTCTTTCAGCTATTAAGGATAATATCCATCCAACCATCTTCTTCCGCTTATCCAGGGTTGGGTCGTGGGGGTAGCAGCTTCAGTAGGGAGGCCCAGACGTCCCTCTCCCCAGCCACTTGGTCCAGCTCCTCCGGGGCAATCCCAAGGCGCTCCCAGGCCAGCTGTGAAATATAGTCCCTCCAGGGTGTCCTGGGTCTCCCCCTGGGTCTCCTCATGGAGGGACGTGCCTGGAACACCTCACCAGGGAGACGTCCAGGAGGCATCCTAACCAGATGCCCGAGCCACCTCAACTGGCTCCTCTGTATGTGGAGGAGCAGCGGCTCTACCAAACGGGGGCCATGGAATTGGAACACACGGAACCGGTTCTGAACAGGGACCAGTTTTCGATTCCCATCCTTAGCCAGAGGTGACTGAATGATATTTTTGAAACTATATGTTGTCATCATATCAATGCGATCTGAGGAGCAGAGTGAGCAAAGTAGCGTATGCCCTGACTTTCTCTCTCCTACTCCTCTCTCGCTCTAATGTTTTTAATTCTTTCTCCCTTTTTTTCTCCCTCTTCTGCTCTTTAAAGTATCTCAAAAACTGCACCACTGGGAAGAGCAGTGTAAGGATTAGTAGATACCTAGTGGGGTCCTGGCTGATTGGTGAGGTATATGTGCCAAACAGATCATTTTAAAATTTGTTTATATAACAATAAATGTAGTAATCAGCTGATTGGGAGCAGGTGTGGGCAGAATGATCTAGAAAGTAGTTAGGGGAAAGGAGACTGACACAAGGGGGCAACAGAGAGTAAACAAGACATACAACAGTGCTGAAATATAACCTAAAAACATGGATGACACTAAATTGAAATGAAACTGACAGAAAACGCAGAATGACATAAATCAAAGTGGGACTAAAAACCCAAAGTAAAACTCAAACAGAACCAAAGGGCAGAAAAAGCAGAATCCTGACTAGTGGATCAGCCTGGTGGAGCATATACAGTAAGACCTGACATTATAAATGCTCCCAGACAACATGGTGACCAAAATAATCAGTGATAAAATGGTCAAATGTTAGTTAAAACAAAATAAGCCATACCAAAGAAATAATGTAACAAATGTGATCTATTTGTCTTTACTGTTTCCAGGTACAAGTAGGCAGTAAACCACAGACATTACAGAAAGATCATTAATGACTTAAGTTAAATCTCACACTAAAACCAGTAAGTCATAGTTTGTAATTTCTACAACTTTACTGCTTTTTTGTTAGTTTTTTATACGATACACATCTATTTTGTTTAAACAACAAAGGAGATGTGTATTACTTTGGACGACATGCAAGTCCCTAATATTTTGTGTCCCATACCTGCTGATCAGCCTGCAGTCTGCGGCCCACCACTCTGAAGGTGTTGGTTGAAAGGTTGTGGTAGATCTGGACACGGCTGAATTGGGGTGCATCTGATCCTACTGGCACCCAACGCTTGCTGCTGTCATCGTACAGCAAGACCGTTGCTCTCACTTGACAGAGACTTGACTCACTACAGGAGAGAGCAATATATGGGAAAAATAAAAGATCATTGACACCAGATTGAAAACTTCTGTCATGTTGTCGTCCACCATCTTTGTATTGAACCTATACTTAGTTTGCATAGTTAAACTCTTTCCCGTAACCTCCAAAAAATTCTGTTGTTGTGTTCAGGGTTTGAGCTTGTCGTGGGGAAAAAAGTAAGAAAGAGAGCAGTTGGCTTTAGGCTGCCCTGCAAGGCTTTAAACCTGGGTTTAA